GAAGGTGAACTTCAAGTGTGGCAACAGGCAATCTGAAAGAGTTAACTGTGCTTCTTCCAGCTGTGTGTTCCAAGCAAATTGGAAGGTCATTAATACTTTTCAACTCTGAAAACAATGATAGGAGATCCAGTCACAATCTTCTCTGCCTCATCTAGTTTAGTTTGGCTTTAAGTGGTGTTGGACACGTCACTCTTACCCTCTGTCCTGGCCGGCCCAAGACCTTTTAGTGTCTGAGGCAAAGTGCCACAAAGTCCCCCTCCCCCACAGATCTGGGCCCATGTGTCGGGGGGTGAAAGAAGAATGCTGCCCAAGGCAGGTCGCCTCAGGTCACCTCCTTGGTGTGCCAGCCATGCTAGGGCAGCAAGTTAGCTTAAGGGCTGCAGGGCAGACTACGTGGCACACATTTCTATTTTTAAAAAATATTTTTTTATTAAATTTTACATAACAAATTTAAATTCAAGCATTAAACATCCACATCAGCATTGAGGATTCCCTGACTCCTTCGACTCCCCTCTACCCTTCCATGGTTACCATTATCAATCTTTTCTTCCAACTGCTTCCCTTATTTTCTCTATTTTTAAAAGAAAAATAATCTATTTTTATCATAGTTTTTTTTTACATTACAAGCATTACTCAAATCCTGCCAAAGTTTTTAGTTGTTTACAGTGTTCTCTTAAATACATTATATTTTTTTCCCATTCTTTCTTAAAATTCTTCTCTTCCTGGTTTCTAATTTTCCCAGTCAATTTTGCCATTTCGGTGTAGTCCATCATCTTCATCAACCATTCGTCTCTGTCGGGACTTTATCTCTTTCCATCTCTGGGCCAGTAGTATCCGTGCAGCTGCCGTTGCATACATAAATAGTCATTTCTGTTCCTTCAGAATTTCTGTACCTAAAATACCTAGTAAAAAAGCCTCTGTTTTTTTCACAAACGTTATTTTAATCATTTTTTTCAACTCATTGTAAATCATTTCCCAGAATGCTTTTGTTATCTTGCGCATCCACCACGTATGGTAGAATGTGCCTTCCTTATCCTTGCATTTCCAACAAACATTGGAAGCAGTTCTATACATCTTTGTTCATTTTACAGGTGCTAAATACCACCGATACATCATTTTCATACAGTTCTCCTTCAACACACAGCACGCTGTAAATTTTAAATCTTCCCTCCATAATTCCCAAAGATGGAAATTGGATATTGTGACATGGCAGGCCTTTCTAGCCACTTTCTTTGTTGGCATGCGTCTGTCTCAGGGGACAATGGAGGAGTTCGCCTTTAGGGTGAAGTCAAACCATTGGGGAGTTACAGCGCATGCTGTGCCTATAGAGACCGATACAACTGCGGTGATGCAGCTGCACCAGAATGTTTCTACTTTCTGTGCTCCTCCCAGCAGTCATTCTACTTTTCATCCCTCATAATTTGCCGTCTGAGGCAGCTGCCCCACAGTTAGGGCCAGCCCTGCCCTCTGTTCCCTGATTATTATTTTAAACATTTTTAGGAAAGGAATTTCAAACAGGAAAAAGAGAAACATAAAGGATTTTGCATCAGAAATTTTCATAATATGAAAACAATAGAAGAGGAAGTAGTAAGCCTTTTGGTTGCTTTAGTTCCAACGTTCTTTGGAAAATATGCCTTTATTATAATTTCCAGTGAAACTTTTACTAAACCACGATTAACAGCCTGATGATGCTTTTTAAAAGAAGAGGTTGCTGATCTTTCTATGAAAGCTCACAACCACTTGTTTCCAGTCCAGTCTCAGGAGAATAGCCGTGTTAAGCCTGTTGCAGAAACAACCAACATTTATGTTGGCGTTTATATTAGCCACACAGGTCAGTTTCTTTTGGGGGGGGGATGAAAAAAGGACACCAGAACATTAAAAATAGTACACAGGCATAAAATTAATTACACTGCAGTAATGGAGTCCCATTACAGTTTTCTTCACTTTTTCCAAAACCTAAAGCTGTGGGCGGATTACATCTGAAATAAAACGGTCAACAGAAAGTGGTCCCTCTGGTTCTTTCTTACCTCAACATGGCCTTCTGACTTCTCCACATTGCTTTTTCTTTGTGTGGGAAAGCAATAACAAAAAGGGGGCACTGGTTGTTTTTTCCTGGCCAAAAGTATACCATTGGAGGGCACAAAATCAATCCACAAGATTCTTATATGCAATTAATGGTCCCAGTTCATAAATTTAGGAAACAGGAAGGCATATAATCAGAAAACAATTGGTCAATCAAATGATTAATTAGTTCATGAAAGCACAAACCATGCCAAACTTGCAAAATTCTTAAGCATGACAAATAAAACTTTAAAAGAAACCCAGAACCCTTTTTATGCTTTATTAATCCAGGCTACTATTATTCTAAATGCAGTATTGTCCCACTACAGACTTGTCTGTGTAGAGGCAGTGAAAAAGCAGGTGTTTGCCCATCTTATACTGTATCCCTCTCATCTTATGTGTATCCCTCCATGCAGTCCAGTGTTATCCCTACAGATAAATGGGTGGGCTGGGGCAGGTAACATATGGCCACTCTGTTGTAATATGGTGCTCTTGCCATTCATAACAGAGAATGACAGAGAGCCAAAATAATACCAGGAAGAAGAGTGTTCCTCTCAAGTCCCCCCCATCTTTGTATAGCTTAATTTAAGGTAAGAATGAGAGAAGTTAATAAAGAGGACAACAAAATATAGATATAACCATTTTCTCCGCATCCTCCAATCAGTATCAGCAGAAACTAGAAAGTCACCAAGATCTGTTGCCAGACATAGAGAATCATAGAGGTATAGTAAGTGTTGCTTCCCAGGATGTTTCTAATTAGTCTTTGGTGGACATTGTTTTTTTCCATGATGCCCAGGTGTTACAGGTGCTTTTGTAGCTTTTGAGGCCTGTAATTTAAACTTTGCTAGCAATGCTCTTTGAAAGCAATATAAAACATGAGCACTGATTAATCCCTACTCACCTCTACCGAAGAGATGCACCACAGGATATAATTATTGCTATGAAAGATTCTTGAATCAAAGACATGTAAGTGTCCATCATTATTTAGGCTGGAATCTTTTCCTATTTACCTGAGCATGACCCATTGAATTCAACAGGACTTACTTCTTAGTAGACATGGATAGGACAGTTTTTGAGAATGACCAGCCCTTTTGTCGTTCTCATCGGCATCATGAACTAGAACGAGACTATCAGCTTTGTTGGTCAATGATTTACAAAATACTTTTGAAGTTTGGAAGGCAGCATTCCTAAGTATTCTTCCTATGCCAGTAAATACAAACTATGTGCCATGAGGAAACTACAATCTGTCATGACAAATAATGTTTTATATCATGTTTGAAGTCTGTTTGAATCCAAGGCTTCAGCTATGGAAGAAGCCAGAGTGTAATGCTGGGAGCCCCTCCATCGCAGGCTCAGGCTGTGTCTGTGTGTGTGTGCGCACGCAAATAAGCCATATATCATAAAGACACCACAGTCTCTGCTGTGCCTCATTTCCAAAAGAAAACAGTAACCCTGGGCAATCACCTGGACCCTGGGAATCTCTTGCTGCTCAGAGATTGGTATGGCATGCAACACTGGTGTCAGAAGTGCGAGATGACATAGTGCCATCTAAAAAGCTTCCTCCCACCCCCAAAACTATTAAACCTAGAGTCTGAAATTACCTAACTGTACCACTGTCTACCATAGATCAGTAGTCCTATCTCTGCACTGGATGTAATTTGCAAACGCAATAATTCCGATGTAGATTCTGGGCAATCCCCTACCTCTTGTTGTTCCTCTGCAGGTGCCACACATGCTTACCTCCTTCCATTCTGGAAGCACAGCTGAAAAAACACTGACTCAGCAACATGGGTCTGGACAGTAGAATGATAATCATGAATACGAATTAGGAAACCTTAACCAATAAACACTTGATGAAATGCATTCGGGTCTGGGGAAAGTGTGTGTGCAACTTTTAAGAAAAAAAATAGTGGTTACAGGTGTTAAGTAGCAGACAATCCATTCTAAGGCTGCCAATCCTAGTATCACATTATATTGGAATGTACCAACTTAACTCAGTGAACTTATTTTGAAAAGACATCTCACTGTAATACCTCTCAAGACATGTACCCTAAAAGAACAGAGGTCAGATCACAAGCAACTAGCCCAGCCAATAGTTTAGGGTGCATGATTTCAATGGCTCCATAGCACATTTTTGTAGAGTATTGGGCTTAAGATTCAAATATTTTGTAATTTAGAGTGGCAGACCTTGGGGGCCTCAAATTTCAGCCCCACATTTCATTCATCATAGTAGTGGCACCTCTGTGGCTCCGTGCCCAGTACAACCGAATCGGTCGTGCTCCCCTCAATCCACCTCTGTATTAGGTTGCCAATTTTTGTTGTTCATGAGTTTCTGCCTTTTTTTTTTTTTACTTCAACGTACCATATTTGAATTTAGCAGACATGAGAAAGCCACCACTCACTTGGTCCTTATTTCCATGCCCTAAACCTGGTTTCTGTAGTTGTAATGTGCTGTTGAAAGCCATGACACGTTGCTTTTCTTTTTTGCGGGTTAGATTTGCAACCAACTATGCAACTATATTACTTCATATGTGTTGCATTTGAGCGCTGGTGTGTGTGATTTACTTTTCAGCGCAATCCTAACCACGTCGACTCAAGAGGTAAATCCTATTGATATCAATGGGATTATTCCGTGTGTGGAGCTAGAATCGCATCCTTAACTTTTTTAATGTAAATCCTTAAAAGAACCCCTTACTTTCACTCCTAATTTTATATTTCACCCCTTTTGCTTTTTAGCGCTCATCAGGGGTGCGCAATCCTTCTGGAACCCCCAAAACACAACCGCCTTAGTCCTTCAGTCGCTGAAGGAACAACTACGCATTACTCCCCGCTCGGCTCTTCTCCGTCGCCGCTCTAGCCATTCGCTTCTCCTCATCTCCGAGGCTCGGCATCCTAGGCAACTTCTCTCTATGGTGCGGTGAGGTCATAGCATTGCGCCGGGCGGATGCGACGCGCGGTGCTGAAACCATGGCGGCGTGGACATACGAGGTAATGGAGACTGGATTCTTTTGCTTTACTGTAGGCACCTTGTTTAAGGACAGGCCACTGACTCCCGGCTCCCTTCCCGCCCGTGTGTCTCCATTTTGCCATCCATGTCCGCCAGGGCCCCTGAGGCAGATGCAGAAGCAGGGGCGAGCGGCGTCTGTCGTCTCGATAGGACTGGAAAGGAGGGTGTGGACGAAACCTTTGTGGGAGTCGCAGAATAAAGTATTCCAGTTATTTGTTATTTTTTAAAAGACCGCAGTGGAATCAAGTGTCGTTGTCGTTGTTGTTTTTCTAAGACTCCCAATAAGTCCTGCGCCCAAAGACATTGTAACATTGCGCCGATCTGCGGCTGAGATTAGAAGCTATACTAGTGGCTTTGAAATTATAAACATTATTCTGTTGTCGAGGGAGTAGGACAAACAAGGAAAGGAAAGGAAGACGCTAATAACATTACAACTCGGGATCACCTAATAAAATTGCCAGGAGGTTCAGGACAAATTCAAAAGAAACATGTCTTTCATAGCGAATAACGTGTTCACTACTCCACACTGTGGCAATAGTCACCATGACTTAAAAAAAGACTGAAACTGAATCAGAAAGGATTTCTGGGTTTGTACTCTTCTCAGTTTTATTTCATTACAGGTGGGCTATAAATATCCTTGAGATTCTACCTAGAGTGGCATGTTGCCTGCAGTGTTATAAACTCAGATATATAAGTTAATTGCCAAATAGCACCTTAAACCTAGGTTACGGTTGCCGCAACAGAGTGTCTAGGTACCATCCCCGCAATGAGATTTATTGTTATTATTAATATCCATTTGCGACTAGTGCGGGTCCAGTTATGACCATGTGGAGATATCTGGATGCCAAGTTGGCAACTGACATCTCCATCTGACTGCCTCCCCTTTCTTAAGCAGGTAAGCAAAAGAGCTTATTTATTACATTTATATCCCACCTCTCCCCCCCCCAAGGAATACATGGTTTCCCCTACTCCTCAGTTAATACCTACAACAACCCTGTGAGGTAGGTTAAGAGGCTGTGACTGGCCCAAGGTCACCCAGTGAGCTTCATGACTGAGTGGGGCTTTGAACCCTGATCTCCCAGGTCCTAATCTAACACTAACCACAACACCACACTGGCTTCCTAGAGTACTTCTGCTTTGGGGCAGGTATTTAAATTAAGTAGGCAAATAAATATGGGGAAAGCAAAATGTCACTTAGAGGAGGATCTGAAATACTTTCCTTGAAGCTTGAATTTGTTTTTGTTCTGGATTTTTAAAAATGTTTTAGTGTGTTGTAAACTACTTTGAGATTTTTTTTTTAAAAATTATAAAGCTGTATAGGAATGAAATGAATCATCACCATCATCTCCTTGGGGGGGGGGGCGCCTAGACATACCATTGTGGCAGTTGCAACTCAGGTTTAAGGTACCATTTGGCGATTAGCTTATATATCTGAGTCTCTAACACTGGGTGGGACACCAATGGGGCGGGATGGCACATTCCCATTTTGCCTCATTTTTCCCCGACTTAACAAATGCTGTTATAAGAATAACCTGAAGTGCAGGCAACTTTGAGGCATTAAGCTAAATGTTTATTTTTGAAATGATTAAAACTGAATTTTTGACACTCAAAGAAGAAGAGAATGATTACATTCGTACCTCGGAAGTCGAACAGAATCCGTTCCGGAAGTCTGTTCAACTTCCAAAATGTCCGGAAACCAAGGTGCTGCTTCTGATTGGCTGCAGGAAGCTCCTGCATCCAATCGGAAGCTGCGTCATACATTTGGGTTCCAAAGAACATTTGCAAACCTGAAGACTCACTTCTGGATTTGCGGCGTTCGGGAGCCAAAACGTTTAACTTGCAAGGCGTTCAGGATCCAAGGTACGACTGTATTGATTAGGATTTCTTAGTTATTTTGATTTGGCTATACAGTGGTACATCTGGATACGAATGGGATCTGTTCCGGAGCCCCGTTCGCATCCTGAAGTAAACGTAAGACGCGTGTGCGCGGGTCGTGTTTCACTGCTTCCGTGCATCCGCGTGACGTCATTTTGAGCGTCTGCGCATATGCGAGCGGCGAAACCCGGAAGTAATGCGCTCCATTATTTCCGGGTTGCCGCAGAGCGCAACCCGAAAATATTCATCCCAAGGCTACTTCAACTCGAGGTATGACTGTACAGTCATACCTCATGTTACGTTTGCTTCAGGTTGAGCATTTTCAGGTTGTGTCCTGGGGTGACCCGGAAGTACCGGAAAGGGTTACTTCCAGATTTTGCCGCTCGCGTATGCGCAGACACGCTAAATGACGTCATGCGCAGAAGCGGTGAATCATGACCTGCGCGTGTGCAGACGCTCAGAAGCGGGTTGCATTCTTTTCAGGTTGTGAACGGGCCTCCGGAATGGATCCCGTTAGCAACCAGAGGTACCACTGTGGTTACTTTAAGAAGTATTTAGAAATAGCAGTCAAAGCTAGTCTTTTCAAGTCATTCTGTTTGACACTGATTTTTGCAGGTGTCATGCTAATATGTTGCTGAACCTCTACGTCTGCGAAATCAGCATATGGCAGTGGCTTCTTGCCATGCTGTACAGGTGGATATTTTCCACTGCAGGCAAATTCCTACTTTATTAATTAATTTCACAGGAAAGGTTCCATTGTTTCCACTGATATTCCCTAATGTGGGAATGCTTTCCCCCGTCTTTTATTGCACTTGAAGATAAAGGAGTGACTTTTTGAAGTGTTCCTGTATTTTAGTTTGTACTATGGGTAGAAGCCCACAGTGAACAGATATAATACTAAAAAAATATTGAGGATAGGTATTGCTGAATCTGTGGCATCTGTGGTTTCATTAATTCCCACATTTTAATCTGCTTTTATGAAAGAAGGTAAATTGCTGCATTGAGAGAAACCTTTCTCTATAGAAGTACTGTAGAATGGAGCAAGGCACATTTACATAATAATAAGACCATCTCTTTGCTTGCCTCTGCTTTATGCAAGAGTTTGAGCAGCACATTGTTGATGCAGCATATGTATTATTCATAGCCCTATTTATGCTGCATTAATCATGGTTTCCTAAGCATCTAGATATGCTTTCTAAAAGATTGCTGAAACAATGTAAAGTGGTACTTCGAACGTCTCCGTTGACGAACATTTCAGTTTACGAACGGTGTACACCTGGAAGTAAATGCTTCAGTTTTCAAACACACCTCAGAAGTCGAACATGCCACACGGCTTCGGCTGAGTGCAAGATCCTGAGGCCTAGCTGTCAACTGTTGAGTCCTGAGCACCCACGCAACACGGAGGTGATATTTGGGCTTATTTGGTGACTATGCAATCAATCTGTGCTCATCTCATCTCAGGAGCTCTCTTGCAACCAATTTGTTTTTGTGACTGTGCAATCAATCTGTGTTCACTCAAACTTCCTCTCCAGTCAGACATCCACCTTAGAATAGTTGCAGTGGAAGTCCTGGGTTTGCTAGTAGTATTGGTGGAAACATATTACTGTATGTTCCTGCATCATTTCTGACACTTCTGCATACCCTTTTATCTTGCACTATGGATACATTTCCTGCATTGGAAGCAGTGTTGGAAACTCCCATTGTTCTAGGTGCATTTTGCGAAAAAGAATTTCATTAGAGCAAGCAGTTTCTGAGCTCTGGGTGCAGTACTGCACCTAATATTTCAGATTAAAACTGCACAGTGGAAGGAAAGGAGGACCTTTTTCTGCTTCCCCACTTGAAGCTACTCTCTGAAGACTGGAGAAGAGACTCTCTTAAGAATATTAGGAGGGCAGGCAGGGGAAGCATGGCTTTGTTTTTTGCAGCCTTCAGATGAGGACTAGACCATGTGAAAAATGAATTTAAGATTTTAGCTTCAGTTCATTCATTTTCAGCTTTGTATTCCAGTTATAAAAATGTGTGCCTAGATATTCCATTGTTGGGCCCATAACGTAGGTTTAAGGTGCCATTTAGCGCCCAGCTTTCATATCTCAGTTTCTAACACTGATTGGAAGTCAAGTGGAACTTCTGTGATTCCCACTGTGGTTTAAAATGGTTGTGCTTTGGCTCCAAACTTTCTTCATCCACTTTCTTAAGCATTGAGAAGTATCGCTACACTTGCCTTGCTGCAAACCCCATATCAAAGCCAGCACAGAGGACATGTTCTGCATATTAATTTAGTGCTTCCTCAAACCTTACTTTCTACATTACATTTTAAAAATAACTGTTTCACCTTTAAAACTTGTGTGCTTCGTCCCTTCTTGAGACCTCCAGGTATAGGGCGGTATACAAATTCAACAAACAACAGCAACAACAAAAGTTTTGTACAAAGTTGAGAGATTGACTACCCTTTAGAGAAAGTCTGCCAACTTCCTGGTGCTTGAAACCAGTTCCCCATAGAGCAAGTCCTTGGGGATCCTGCCATACTCTGAGCTCCAAGCACCCATTGAAGCAGGTGGATAGTGGTGGACCAGCATTTTATTGACCAGGGCTGCCCGGCTTAAGGTGGGCAGTAGCTGACCAGTGAGACACAATCTCTCACACTGATGAAGACTATTGCTATTGTAACTATACTTGTGCTAACCATTCATTTCTCTTTCTCCTCCAGATAACCTTTTGGGAATTTCCTGGGTTGATAGTGCTTGGATTCCAATATTAAACAGTGGAAGTGTGTTGGATTATTTCTCAGAGCGTAGCAACCCATTCTATGATCGAACGTGCAACAATGAAATGGTCAAAATGCAAAGGCTATCGCTGGATCACCTAAAGTAAGTTACTGCTAGACATTGGTAAAGTAATCCTATAAAACAGGAATAGGGAATGTTCAGCCTACAGACCTGATTCATCCCAGGAGGTCTCCCTATTTGGTCCTATTTGTTTCAGGGACACCATGGCCAAGTGCCACAGCTCTCTTCATATATATGTTAGTTGGCATTGCCTGCAAGCCCTGTTCTGCAGCAGTTTCCAGTTTCCTGACAACCAGCTGGCTGATTGGAAACTGCTGTGTGAAGCATTTTGCTAGCTCTTTGCTTGGAGTGTGAGAAATGATGGCAAAGCTCCTAGTGCAGCTCTTTCCAAGTGCCTGACAGCCACCTGGTTATCACGTGCTTTGGAAGTATTATGCAAGGGACTTAAACACCCACCAGTCACCTGATGTAATTATGACACCACATGATTGACAGAAGGATAGTCCAGCCCACCTTTCACTACTGCCCGCTGGAGTGGGGAAAGAGGAGGATCTGGGCTGTTGAGACTAAGTTTCCTCCTGTAGTTATAAAACAAGGTTTAGAATGGTAGTTGTCACCTGTGAAAAGTAACCCTACCAGCAATTGAAGTACTAAAGTCAGAGATGATAGAACTTTCCCCCTCTCTTTGTCCCTATTTTGCCTTGACAGCTGATTCACTTAAACTGCTTGCTCTACCCTTTTCTATAAGCAGAAGACAATTACCCAGTTTGTCTTGTGCTATGGATGAAAAATGGGTTCAATGATTCTGGCTTATGTAAGATTAGCTTATGTAAGATTAGAGAAATGCCTGCTAACTGGTGGTCTTCTGAAAATTTCTTACTCTGTTTTGAAATGGTAGATGTTGAATGACTAAGAAGATACTGTGTGTCAAAAGTGATTAAAGCATTTACATTTGTAATCTACTTTGTTCCATGCATATGAGAAATTGACAACCTTCCTGTTGATTATAGAATGCTCTGAACGCAGTTGTTTGCATATTTTAACATCAACGAAAGTTGGAGCTATAAAAGATTGCTTTAATTAATATTAAAATTCATTTCAAAATGAAGAGCATCATAACTGTTTCAGATAATCTATTGCTGTTAAAGGATAGCTTTATTAAGTATATTCAAAATAAACAATGAACAAATATATTTATTGGGAAAGACATACTAATGAGCCCAAGGAAGCAAGCACTGTTTCTTTTTTACATTGGAAAAAGAGCCTAGAGAGCAATTTAAGTGGTCTCATTAGTAAGCAGTTACCTTGAAACCTCCTTTGTCTTTTATTTCTATTTGCTCTGAAAATGCTGCACAATAAGATAACTCTTTTCTTTTTGAATATTCTGAAATTTCCTAATGAAGTCCTTGTTAATACAATTTGTGGCTGTGATCCTTTATAGTGTTGCCCTTCCAAACCTGGAGAGATTCAGAATCCAATAACCACACTAATCAAATCCAAACATGAACACTTGATTTTAAATCATCCTATGGTGCCTGTGGGTTAAACCACAGAACCTAGGGCTTGCCAATCAGAAGGTTGGCGGTTCAAATCCCCGAGACGGGGTGAGCTCCCATTGCTCGGTCCTTCTCCTGCCAACCTAGCAGTTCGAAAGCACGAAGTGCAAGTAGATAAATAGGTACCGCTCTGGCGGGAAGGTAAACAGCGTTTCCATGCGCTGCTCTGGTCCGCTAGAAGCGGTTTAGTCATGCTGGCCACATGACCTGGAAGCTGTGTGCCGGCTCCCTCTGCCATAAAGTGAGATGAGCGCCGCAAACCCAGTCGTCTGCGACAGACCTAACGGTCAGGGTCCCTTTACCTATGGTGCTGTAAGCTATTGGTGAATTTGGTGGGGAGTCCAGCTGGTGACAGATTTATTAAGGACAGCAGTATGAAACCCGATAGATTTAGAGCAAATAGATCCATCAGGTGACTGTCAGAAAATTACTAGGATCTAGGACAATTTATTACATGATTTTGTCCAAGAGGGGGCACACTTGGAAGTGTGCACTAGATGACCCTTTGGGGTCTCTCCTAATTCTAGAATACAAATGATTCTATAGGGTGTGGATCTGTCAGTGGGAGACTTGTACTTTCATTGGCTTCTTTAGCCTCTACAATAAATAGTAGTCTTATCTCCTTGTTCAATCTTGTCTTATTCTTTCAGTCAAATGTGGAGTGAAATATATCCTTTACATGCACAAGAGCCAATTCTCTTCATTATTCGTAACAGCAAAGACCAGAGTCCGACGCATGGTAAGGATTTGTACAGTATTTTGTGGGAGGACAAGATGGACAACAAATAACAAAAAAAAGGATGGGGGTAACATTGCTTCCCTGTGCAGATGCAGTGCTCACATACAGAGGAATCTTCACAGGGCTAAGCAAATCTATGTTCTCCAACCTCCCCTCAGTGTACATACAGAAGTGATTTGTTGTTTTTTGAAGAACAAGAGGTCTCTGCCTATACACAACCCAGGCTTTCTGTTCTGCTTGATCAAGTGAAGCCTCTTTCATATTCTTGAGCAAACGGGGAGGAATCTGGGCATTACAGAAGGTGCATATTCCACCTCCAATCTCATATCAGCTTGTGGCTTTTTTGGGGGGGCAGGGGGGATGGACAGAAATGAGAATCCTGTGTTTAGTGCTGTGCCCACATAGGAAAGGATCATACGCCTATGCATACTTCTGAATGCTCCACCTGCTTTTGTTTTCCTGTTCACAGAAGCATAGGTAGAAATGTTAGCTCCAGAATTCATGTTGCGGTTACTTTTCTTCCCCTGAATTTTGTTTTAGGTCTAATTTCCTTTTTGAATAGTAAAAGAATGCCCTCTTGTGGGCAAAAGCAAATAGTGCTGGTAAAACATTTGCCTATTTGCAGTCCTATGTTTTTAGCAGTGTTGATGACTTGTTTTAACTATGTATTGCTTGTCATGTTTAATCTCTGTATGTAAAGAGGAGTAATTCCTCCCCACTGAGCAATAAGCCACTGCATAGTCAATCTTAAAACAAAACCTGCAGTAATAACTCAATATATAATTATAAATAAAACCAGTGATGTGACAACAAACAGAACAACTTCTGAATTGCAGTTGTATAAATATTCATTAAAATTTTTTGGAAGAGTAAGTTCTGTTCACTAATGCATTAGAGTTCTTTGAGTAGGTGTCCAGCAAGCATATAGATAGATGTGATCCAGTTGACACAGTGCATTTTGGACTTTCAAAAAGTTTTAACAAAATACCTCACCAAAGACTCCTGAGTAAGCTTAGCTCCCATGGAATAAGAGGAAAGGACCTTCTTGTGGATCAGGAATTGGTTAAGGTGCAGGAAGCACCTTAACGAATGAAGACATCTAGAAAGTAGAGTCCCCAAGGATCAGTACTGAAATCTAAAGTTGTTTATGATGACCCAGAGTTAGGATGAGCAGTGAGGAGGCTAGGTTACTGATTGGTACAAAAACGCTTAAGGTCATAAAACAAAAAGGGATTGCAGAGACTCCAAAAGGACCTCTCCAAGCTGAGCGATATGGCAGTAAAATGGCAAATGCATTTCAGTGTAAACAAGTGCAGCTGGAGCGCAAGTAACAGCAGCAATTTCCCATCTCATATACTGTGACTGAGTGAAAGTAAAAGCCAGATATAAAATAACATTTAAAATTCATTTTACAAGTGCACACTCTCAGATATAAACAAACCTGAAGGTCTGTAGTCTGCAGGAATAAGATCCAGACACAGATGCAGTTTCTTTTCCTTTTCCTAGTGAACATTTGCATGTTTCATTTAAAGACTCCCCAGGTGTTCAGAAAAATGTAAGAAAGTAACAGGATTAAAAAAAAGAAAAGAACTTACAATAGAGACTACATGCACACAAAGCAGTCCTGTAGGAACATAATGTTTGAAACCATTAAGCAGTCATTTCATTTATTTCATTTTTTCCTGTAGTTTACAGCTTGTACCTTCTGTTTAAAAATTCTCTTAGGGCAGGGATAGTGCAGTCGCATAATAAAAGAAATAATAAAAAACCCATAAGTAACAAGGATAAAAAGAACAAAGCAAAATGCAGCATGGCAATATGCCAAGAGCAGGACTAAAAAAAGTAGATTTTTTAAAGTCTAGGGAAAATAAAAAGGTATTTAATAAAAAGGTAAAGGCATGAAAAGACACCATGTATCTTCACCATGTAGGAGATCTTGGAGACAATATTAACATGGACGGGTATGTGATGAAAGCATAGCAGGGGCTACCGTAGTGGATGTTTTCCTTTAAAAAAATGGGAGGGACACACACACTAAACACAGGGAGGAATACTCCTCTCCCTTGTTCTCGATATACAGCTCAGGTTGAGGCTTGCCTGTACAGTCGTACCTGTTTTTGCAACCAGAATCCATTCCGGAGGCTCTGCCGCTAGCCAAAAAGATGCAGGGCAAAGTGCCGCGCCTGCGCACGTGCACAGAGCAGTTTGCACTTCTGTGCAGGCGCAAAGTGCGATTTAGCGCTTCTGCGCATGCGCAAGCTGCAAACCCAGAAGTAACCCGTTCCGGTAATTCCGGGTTTGCCGCGGACGTTTTGCCAGAACGGACATT